AAAAAAAAAAAAATCATTTTTTTTTATTATTGTTAATTTTCTAATTTTGCTTACCTAAGTATATGACAATGATTTTTACTAAGAATTGCTTTTCCTTCACTACCAATCAATTGAGTTAATAAAGAAAGATTATGTAAAGCTATTTTAGATATTGATGGATCTTCATTAGATAACTATAGACAGAAAAAAAATAAATAAATATTTGTTTTTGCTCAAAATAAATCATACTAAATTTATCATTGGACCAACAAGAGTAACAAGAGGTTTATGAACTTGTAATATTTTTTCAGCTATAGATGGTAAATCTGAATCTCCTGTTCCAGTTTTTTTAACCTAATCAAAAAAAAAAACTAATATTTATTTAATATTTTTTTTTTTGTTATATTACTTGTAATGCTCGTTTAACAATATCAAGTACATAAGTAAGATCTCGATCAAGTAAAGATAATAATTCAAGTAAAATATTCGTCATTATTCGATCATTTGTTGTAAAAGTTAATTGATCTTGAATTAATTGAAGTTGTATTGATACTAAACCTATAAAAAAAAAATCAATAATTTTTTTTTTTTTTTTTCATTTATTCTATTTACCTTGTTCAATCATTGTTTGAAGTATTTCTCGTTTTTCAGATAATGTTGTTAAACAAGAAACAATACCTTGAACAAATGTACCTGTTGATTTATCTTTATTTTGTATAATAAGATTAAATAAATTTGATATAAGATTTGATTGTGAAAGTATAGAAAATGAACTAGATGTATGATCAATTAATGTCCATAATGTTTGAATAAAACGTAAACTAAGTATTGAAATTGGTTCTTCACGTAATATATGTTTATCACATATAATTGGTAAAAATGTTTGATATAATTCTTGTTTTATATCATTTTGTATATGTATTGGTAAAACACAATCAATTAATTTTAATTCATTTAATAATTCATTAAGTATACATAAAGAAAATAATGAAAATTCATCAACATTTGATGATACAAGTAATTGTGAACAAAGTGGAAGAAGATCACTAAGAAGTATTTCACTAAATAATGATAAAAGATCACGTGCACGAACAAATGCATCTAATGTTTGAGAAACATAAGATATTATTTCAGTTAATGATGATGGACCTAGAAAACAAAAAAAAAAAAGACCAATGAATTTTATCAGGAAAATAGAGATGAGTTTGAAGATTTCTTGAAGTACAAATAAAAAACATTCAAACAGAAATTATTATAAAGATTATTAATTACATGTTCGGAAATTTCTGTTCTAGTTGAATAATAACTTTTTAATAATGTTTATCTAGTGTAGTTAATATTACTCGTAAAAGTAAATTTTCGAAATTTGATCTGAAAGGAAGAATATGCCTCTGTCTATCGATACTTCATGGCAGATTCAATAGCCGGATATATCTCGTACAATTGAGTATAAATACTAAACACAAATATGTATTTTTGTGTAGTATTGTATTTCAACAAATACTGATGCTATTAGTGTACGAACTACATTGAGTTCATGATATCAGTAGTGAATAACATGAAATTGCACATTTTCAAAAGATTTTCCCCCCCCTAAATTCGCTATTTGTGAATATAATTTAAATATAAAAATTTATTTCTTTCATTAAAGTTATTTATATATTGATTTTACCTTTTGTTAATTCATTATTTAATTCAGCGATGAGTTTAATATTGGAAAAAAGTTTAAATAATTTTTTAATTGACATTAATGTAACAACACGAGAACGAATACACTAAAAAAAAAGAACAATAAATTATATATATATATACTTTTTTTTATATTAATTTACATGATTTCCAATAATAGTTGATATTAATCGAAATGATGGTAACCATTTTTTAAATGTATCTTTAGCTGATGATGTTTTTCGTGTTTGTTCAGTAGATGATAAAAGTTCATCTAGAATTTTTTATTTCAAATTCAAATTATTCGTTTTTCTTTTTTGAAGATATTCAATATACCTAATATTCGATTAAGATGACTTGAAAACAATGTTGTTAAACGATTAAGTGCTTCATGTAATAAATCATTTTCATCTGGATCTATTGATGTACGACGAACATCACGTTCAATTGCTTGAAATAATCTAATGAAATTAAATTTATAAAAAAAAAAACAAAGTATAAATAATTAGTTTATCAATATACTTTGTATCACTTAATGTATAAAGACTTTCATTATATGTTGATAATAGAACATAAGTTAAAGTATATGCTTTAGCACGTATAAGAACATTTGTATTTTCATAAAGAACATTCATTTTTGGTAATATATCCTATAATAAATAAATATTAGAAAGAAAATAAACTGTTTTTGTTGATTAATTATAGATTGAAGATAAATATCTCTTTAGATATCAAAAACATATTATTTATTTTTATTTTTTCTATTAATTTTTTGAATTTTTTCATGAAATACAATCAAAAACTGAATGTTGAAGTATAGGAACAGAAATTTGCACTAATTTCAAAAATGTAACAAATATCATACTAGAGAATTCAATGTATCATTAGACATTTCTTCTCGAGTTATGTTCATTTAACTGAAATTTTCATCTATTTCAGGATATTATAAATTTGAGCTTAATACTTTTGCATAATATCATAAGTATAATGAGAGTTATTATTAGAGAAAATTTTAGATCGAAGTTTTTTCCTGTGATGCTTTTCATATCCTGCAGTAGACAAAAAGCTTAGTAAAATAATCATAACCTGACAATAAATGCCTTATGTCACGAACATTCTGAAGATTTTTATCTACATTATGAGTCACATCTATAAGCAAAATATAAGTTCAAACGAAGATTATCAGTTGGATAAATTGTATCATTAGCAACAAATCATAATAGATTGTGATAGACACCTTAGTAACATCTACCATCTAAGTCATCGAGTAATGATAGACGTTGTCAATATACTATCTAAGATTGTATATAAATAACATTTTGTTATCATATATGAACTATTTTCTTATTATATTTTTAGAAGCTTAAGTAGAAGGATATCCGAAAATAGATAGAAAAAAAATAATCTTCGTATGATGAAGTATGTCAACTACATCGTTTTTTTACATATTAACCGCTTAGAAATCAGTCTAACAGCTTTTATCAATTAATAGCTATCTATTCAACATGTTTTACTTGTATAAACATTGTACGATTCTTTGTTCGTTTAGCTAGAATAGCTAAAAGTGTTATATTATATTGAAGAACTTTTGATGATGTTGATTGAAATATATCTCCTTTAATAGTCACTTTATCAAAAACTGATTGAACAACATCAAGATATGATAAACCCATATGACATAATGCCTAAATATAATAAAAGAAAAAGTCATAATTTAATAAAATATATAGAGAAAAAAAAATATTTTCTATTTTACAGCTAAAGCCGAAGCACGTATATGTTCATTATTACCAACTGTACTAACAATATTCCAAAGTGCAAGAGCAATATCTGATGTAGCTAATTTATCTGCTTGTTTATCAGCAACAAGTAAAAGATTTTCAATTATTTTACATGCAGCATGATTGAGTGCAGTATCATCCTGCAAAAAAAGGCTAAACATTTTTTTGTTTTTTATCGAATAATTCAACTTACACCATCTTTAAGACATCGACCAATTAATTGATATGTAAAACCAGGTACAAGAGAATTATCTGATGTCTGAAAAACAAATAAAATTTAATTAATATTCTATGATAAATATATGAAAAAAAAAATAACATACTCGTCCAGCAATAAATATCATAATTTCACCGATGGCTTGTACCAAATATAATTTAAACTTAGTCTCTTTACTATTTGCACGAAGTGCTTCAGTAAGTGATACAAGTATCTAAGAAAAAAAAAAAAAAGAGAATTTAACCATCTTGTCATCTTGATTAGATTAGCAGAATGTATATATATATATATAAGTTATTTTATGAGAGAACATGTCTAACTATCAGATCATATTTCACTTGAGAATATAGACGTTCAATCGGGCATGATGACAAGTAAAAAAAACAAAGTTCATTTTTTTCCCATTTTCGTCTGTTGAGTTATGAGCATTTTTTACTCATTTTTTTTTAAGCATCTAGATGATAGAAATTATGTCCTTTGATGTAGATCTTCTTTATCATTAAAAAAAGAAAATCTTCAAAGTTTGAATTAGAACAACACATCTAACTTTGCATGAAAATGTCATCCTTTTAAACAACAGTTCAAAGTAGATAGATGTTTTTTGTTCTTGAAATATAAAGTTCATGACAAGAATTCATTTGTTATGATTAAAACTTTTTTTTTTTTTTTATGAATTTTATTTAAGGACATAATTTCAGTTTAAAAATCAATCATTCAAGGTCACTATTGTTCTATGCTTATAGAACAAATAAAAAAAAAAAAAACTTGAATACAATGTACATAATGCAACAAGCGAAGACCGGAAAAACCAAACACAAACAAACTTCTTTTTTTTTTACTACTCATCATGATTGATTGAATGGTAATAATCTCAAGCAAACAAGAATTTTACAGTTGGAAACATTTTCTCGTCAGATTGGAAGCATAAATGAAATATGATTCTATTGGTATATTTTTCTTTTTCTGTTCTTCGGTCTATGTTAATTTTCACAAAAGCATAGACTTGTTTTTCTTCTTAATTTTTTTTGCTCTCTATGACACATATTCTTTTTCTACTATTCTACTTCATGTGACAAATCAAGCATTCTGACATGAGACGTTGATTAAAGAAAAAAAAAAACTGATGATATATAGATAGACAGGGACGCATTTCTAATAATAACAACTTCGCTAATATAATTTTCTATATATTGTATTATAGATACGTACATCGGTAAGTGAAGATGAAACAGGAAAATTATCAGTTGCTTTATTGAATATAATTCCAAGTAGACGTGTTGCTTTCATTTTTCTAAATTATATAAAATAAAATAAAATCATGATTATTATTATTATTATTATTATTTAGAAAGATCATGTCTCATCTAATACGACGTCATTCAATGGAACATTTAGAACTTTATGATCTTGATAAATTCAATATAATTCCATCAAAAAATTATCAATTAACATCACAATTATCATCATCTTCATATAAATATCAACATCGATATTCATTAATAGATTCAACACATGAACGTTATCAATTTCTTTGCAATATAAAACGTAGTAAAATAGATCCTATCTATGCAGCTACACCCATGTTTACAACAATACCACAATCATTAAATGAAGAATATTATCAACAATTAAATGATTCATCATCTATACATTTAGATAATGTTAAACCATTATCTCGTCTATCATCAAAATCAAATGTATCAAAAACTATTAAAATAATTCAAGAAGAAAAAGATAATAATAATGACAATAATCAATCAAAACATCATGATTGTACAGAAATTATTGAGAAAATATTCAATAGACATTAGAAACCAAAACCAAAAAAACAAAGAACCTTGAATTAGATTTTTTATTATTGTTGTTGTTCTATGCGTAGATTTAATTTAGGTGAATTTCTTTTTTTTTTTTTTTTTTTCTTTGAGCTAAATTTTCAATTAGAAAAAAAGAAAACCTAATGCTTACAATTCCATTGTAGTACCATTTGTAATTATATTCAAAAGATCTTTATGAATTTCTTTTGCAATAAGTGCATCAGCAAATGGACCAGAATTCGCTTGTTCAAGACATGTATATCCAATATAATTCAATAGATGTGGTTTAAGACGCATACCATTTGCATTTGTTGGTGATCCAGCTGTCGTATTTGACAATTCTTTTTTTATCATACTTGCATGTTCTTGAAGATCAACAGATGACAATCGACTCAAATTTTCATCTTAATATAAATAAAAAAATATTTATTTATATAGAAATATGATCTATTATATGTATCATATTACAGTAAAAATGACTAATGATATTGAAATTAATATCAATGACTAATGTATATTAGATAACCTTGATTTTCATAAAGATATGTGTGTGTGGTTTTGTTTTTTTTAATGAAGTTAATAAAATTAATTGAAAGAAATTTGTAAATCCTTGAAAGTTAAATCTTTTTCTCAAGGAATATTATGACAGTTAATTTATTTCGTTAAGAAACTATTTTCTTTAATATACAATTTTATTATATTATTAGAATCAACTATTCTAATATCTTCTAGGAAAGAAAAGTATAATCAAACTGATAGAATAAAAATCAGATTATTATTAATCTTTTGAAAATATCGTTTCTCTATTGAATATGTACGAGTTTCAATCATTCAGCTTCTTTTATACGAGTAACACATTCAGTCTAATGTGTTTCTAAACATGACATTTAATCTAACTGATCACGATCTTTGATTATTCTATTTAAACGTGAGTAGCCTATAGATCTTTTTCTTAAGACTATTAGAGTAATATAAAATCATATATTCGAAGTCAATTTTTCATAATAAGAGATCATTTGAACAAAATTAATTGTTTTGATTCAGTTCAAATAAATTATTGACACATATTTATTTTTCTTTAGTTCTAAAGAAATTCAAGTATTTACTTTTGAACATTTTCCATATATCAGATATACAAGTTATGATTAAAAAGCCTATTCCTATTTTGTTTTTGTTAATATAGGTCATACCTCGAAAAGGAAAAAACCTATAGGTAGGAATGCTTTTTAGAATTTTGTTATAGTTCTACTATAACCTTCATTTGATAAGAAAATAGAAGTTAAAGCACGGAAACAGTTGAAAAAGCCTCGAGAGAGAGACATAACGGAAACTTTAATGTTATTAACCTTTAAGATATTTTAAAAGTACGACACATGAATCAAGGTCTTTGAAATTTTTACAAATAGACTATCTTCATAATAATTAACAATGAAACTGCTTTATTTTATCATGTATGAATTTCTTTTTTTTTTTTCAATCTGCCGATAAAAGGCCTGAGGGTGTTAGAACTTTAAAAAAAAATGTCATAGTTAATAATGGAATGAATTCTTTTTTTTTTAATAGTGAATTGTGCCATTAATAATTTTCAATCTATTAGTTGATTTTATTTATATATAGATTTAGATTTTTTTTTGTTTATAAGAATTCTAAAAGTTATTCAAAACATTAATTAAAACCTACTGAATATTTTTTTTTCATGTATCTTAAATAGAAAATAATTAATATATTCTTACATTTTCCTAATTGAAATGGTAATAATTTATTTTCAAATTTAAATGGTAATGTTTTTTGAATAGTTTTATTTTCTATAATAGCTGTTGGTTGTAATTCAGTTTTTGTAAAAAGCATTTTTCGAAGACGTTCAATTGTTTCACCACCAAATACTGTTGATTGTTCATGTGTATTTATAGATGAATAATCATTTCGATGTGTTTTATTACCATCAATTTCATCTGGTTTATTTTGTTGAGCTATTTGAATAGATGTTCTTGTACAACTAAAAATTTTTATTTTATTAATTAATATTATTAAAATAATTAAATATAAAAACAAAAAAAAATACCTTAAACTAAATGATACATTTGATTCTGGTCGATCTGTTGTAGCTAATCGAGATGATAGTGGTGGACGATCTAAAATATTTGTTTTGTTTTTTTTTTTGTGATAAAATTTTTTTTTTAATATACCGTGTGTTTCA